CAGACACGAAGTCCTCATTCTCTATTAAGCACTTGTAAGGCCTCTGTTAGATACCGCATCTAGTTTTGAGCGTAGAATTTTAGCAAATCAGTGGACCTTTGGAAGAGTTCCAAGAGGAAGAGGAAAAAAAAAAAAGCTGATGAGACATCTACCAAACATAACTTACAAGGCAAGATAAAGAGTTGAGACTACAGACTTTAAAGAAAAAAGGCAGGAGGAGGAACTTCAGGTTTTCAAGTGTGTAAAAAAACCTACTACACAGAGTTGCAGACCAGTCTTTTACCCATCTTTTCAGTGGATGGGATGAGAGCAAAGCACTTATCTTTAATAAAACATTGCAATAATACGTTTTTATAATGGATATGAAAATGTGAAGCCCTAGAGCAGAGTAGTTGAGAAGACTTGAGGAATCTCCATAACTGGAGATTTTTGAGAACAGTTTGGATAAATGTTAATAATGATTCACATAGGTATAGTTGATCATGCTCTAGAGGAAGAGAAAGAAGTGGTCTAGATAACTTAAGATCCCTTTCCAGCCTGCTTTTAATACCATATGGGGTGTATCTTCATATTGCAAGACATGCTGAATACATCTGTAGCACTGAACCATCCTGAAGTATTGGAAAGTAAAGGAAGTCCAGAGTGAAATACAAAAATTTTTGAGAGGTAGCTTTCTACTCCATCAAAGCATCTCAGTTTTCTGAATGAGTGCTTTTATTGTACCCTTCCCACTAATAGTTTGCCCTTCACCTTTCACAGCATTCCTTCCATTCACCTTCTGTAATTGCATAGCCAGCATTTTAAGTGGCTAACGAATAAAAGAGATGACACTTGCCCCGTGCATTCCACCTTTCAACAGTTCCTGGCCTCAGAGCTTGATCTGATTTTAATGTTGTCTTTTGAAATTAATCAAATGCATAGGAAGTTAAATGGGGAGGCTGAAGGAAACAATGTAGGTCTGATAGGTCTTTTTGTGCTTGTATTAAGTGAGCTGGTAGAAATGTGAAATAATCCAAACTACTGTTTTGGTAGCTGGGAAGATGAGAGGCTTTTAGAAGAGCTGTCATAGGGTGTTTATCCTAAATAGTAGGAATCATGCTAGCTGCTCTGGGTGGTCAGTGGAGCAGTATTTTATTTTTAACAAATTGTCTTTTGTGCCCCGCTGGTAACACTTTGTACTGCTGTCTATGTGAAGTTGTATTTCATTCTCATGCTTCTTTAAGCTTGTGTGTAGTACTTTGGAAAACAGAAAAAGGACTGAAGCAGCAGGAGACAACTAAGTATTTAATTCTGCCAGCTGAGACCACAGAAGAGAAAAGGCTCCCATCAGTAGAAAAAATGCTAGTAAAAAAACAGACATGTCTCTGAGTGTACGCCTCTTTTCAGAGTCAGAAACCAAGTCTAGGCAGCTACCTGGTCAAAGCAAAATACTCCTTATTTGAGACAGAACTTTTGTGTGTCTCCCATTTCTTTCCTCCCACAGTGCACTTGTTTCCATTTTAAAAGGGGATTAAAGATTTTCGTGCTTGAAATAATTGAGAAATCTTATTAGCTTCTCTCTTTCCTTTCTCTTCTCCTCAAAGTAAAATTGTCATGGGACAGTAAATTAATTTGCAGTCCTGAGAGGAGGTTGTATGGCCTACTGTAAAGGCTGTTGTATGTGGCAAAACTCTTGTCAGTGGTGATCTTCCCAGATACTGGTGCCAGATGAACTCTTGTGTGGTGTCTCTGACTTCAGCAAACCCAGGCTAAGAGTGTGTTTAGCCGGTGAGTGTGTCTTACGGTTTTGTTTCTTTTCTCTTTACAAGCGACAGTGATTAAAAGGCCCCAGAGAGATGAACATAGATGGTTAACATTAATTTCAGCAACAGCAAGACACTGTGTCCCGTGATAAACTGTTTAATTAAACCTTGCGCCTCTTTGAATCTGCGGTTCTATTTCTGTCTGGCTTTTGTTTCTCATCTCGTCTTCGTCTCTCCGGTTTCCATGTTTCAGACATAGCCTCATTTATTTTTATCATGCATGATTAATTCAGTTTACATAAAGGGTTTCTTGAGAAGGATGGATAAAGCATATGAAGCCCTTGTTCAGCCTAAATTGGGATTTAGGTGGTTTGTAACTCTTTTCTCTTCAGTGCAAGTCAGTCTCCCAGTTCTGCCGTGCCTCTTGCTCTCCCCTCCAGCTAGCCCAGAGAGCCTTGCCAAAGCTGTCCAACAACAGCTGTTGAGCAACACGCCTAATCACAGACACTCCTTGCTGTCCAACTGCATTTAATCAGTGCGAAAGACGAAACTGCTTTCAGAAAGTGTGTTATAGAGAGAAAACAAGCAGTGAAACAAAGGGGAAGGCAGTGTTTCCTAACCATAACTGTTGCAGGGAGAAAGAAGGGTTGTTATCCCAAAAGAGGGGAAAATTGGTAAATGTTTTTGGTCAGTTCTTCATGATGAGGTAGATGTGTGCTGGGTAGAGAACATCGTTGTTTTCGGTGTATTTAGGCAGCAGTGGAGAAGGCCTGTGCTAAGTTGCATCTAACAGCATTAGTGCATGTTTGAGGGTGGTGTAGAACTAACAATGGTGTGCAGGAAGTGCCTCACACACTGTGCTGAAGTGTGACTGAATACTGCATTTCAGTGGAATACTGATCAGCTAGGGTCTCTGATTCCCACACGCTCTGAAAGACTGGGATTTTTTTTGTGCTTTAATAGTTTCTGGCATAGCCACTGACAGCCTTTCTTTACTTTTTTCTTTAGCTTAATGCTATATAAAATACTTTGAACATGAAATATGACATCTTACTTTTTTTTTTTTTTTTCTAATTAGGACAAGGAGAAGAAATAACATCTGTATAAAAGCTAAAAACACGTGGCCATTGCACCAGTCACACAGTGTATTGTAATTTCTATTTGTAGGAAGTGAAGGGTCAGGAAAGCAAGCAGAGCACCAAAGCTATGCTCCTGTAGGTATTTTGGAGAAAATACAAAGACTAGATGCAGTCTGGAAAGTGTCAACTTGTTACTGTCTTGGTGTTTGCACTGATTGGGGACAGATACAGACGCTCCTGAGAAAAATTTGGTCTGCATTGGGCACCTTGTGAAGTCATACTTCATCAGCTTTTTGGTTAGTCCCCATCAGGCATACAGATGGTTTCAATTGTTTCTGCGTTTGTCTGAAGAAGGCTGTAACATAAATCAATACCAGAAAACAAGGGAAAGCTCTTTACTTTTTCCCCTTTGGCATAGTTTTGCATGGACTGAAAACTAATGTAATATGGAGAAAGAGCATAAGGGAACAGGAAACTTTTTAATGAGGGGTGAGGTAGCATGTTTTGAAGATGTGCAAACACACACACACACACATGCAATTTGGGTATTGGGGCTGTCTGGAGAGATGTAGGAGAAGCAACGGGATTACTTTTTAGCCTGGATCTAAATGGGTGCAATCTGATTTATCATCCTTAAACACTAGATGTATGAGGCTTTTCTGCCCTTCTTGGCCCCTGCATCCCCCTAAGAAAACTTTTTTCTTCTTTGTGTATGTGCACACAAGCAAGGGTTGCTGGTGAGATTAGCAGGCAGAGACCATGGGAAAGCCCTGGAGTTAGTGCAGAACATCTGCTAGGAGTTATGTCCTGTTGTTTGTGGTAGGCTTGAGGAGAAGAAGTTTGGAAATAGCCTTTAAGTCTTACTGAGGTTTTGCTGGTTCTGTCATTTGCTCTAGAATTGTTGCTTGCTAACAAAGTGTTATCCTAGAAGAGTGTCTATCTGGTGCTTCAGTTCCAGGCTTGTAATGAAAACTAATAAATAAGTAACAATGCAGTCCCTTATCTCCTTTTCCTAAAGCTCATGGGATGTAGCTGGCAGCCATGTAAGAGCCTAAACGTAATAGTCAAAAATAACGTGGCAGGAGCTTCTATATTTGCCGCAGTTGGAACCCTCAGAGGGTATTTGTCCTCGTTTGTCAGCACAGAGCATTGCAGGATTACCTCGCGGAGCTGGAGGAGTTTAATGGCTTGGTCCAAAATTACTGAATTCGCAGAAGCTGCCTACCAGCTGAGATCTGATACGAATCTTGCATTGAAGCAACTCGAGCTATAGAAGTGCTCACACACAAAAAGCTGAATTAGCCTGGAACGCCATTGCCGTATGGAAGGAGAAGGAATTCTCAGGCTGTTTGCTTCAGTTGGATGGGTTCTCTGGCGCTGAGTAATCTTGGGAACTTTACAAAGTTCTGATAATAATTTTCATTTCACATCAAAGCAGATGAAACAATCAAAGAGAGGAAACTTAAGCTTAGGCAAAGTAATTCTAATGAAGTGTTTCGAAGAGGGGGAGGAAAGCCCTGAGCTTGCATGTTTTAGTTCAAGTTTGTGTGTTTTTATTTGGGAAATCAGCAAAAATGTGAAAGTTGTAAACCCGTGTGGATTTTCTATCAAATAGTTTTAAGTATTTGGGAATCTTATGTGAAGAACTTTATGCTGGTTTTTGTAATAATGTATGGTGTGCCCTGAATGATTTCGTGACCTGTGTATGCGAACCACAAGTGGGGTGGGAATAGGGCAGTAATCTCATTCGAAAGAGGTCCCTCTTTCTGCCTTGAATTTGCAAGGTAACAAAGCTCATGAGCAACTGTATTTAGTAGTATCTGGCTTTTTGTTGGCAATTATCACACATAAAATATATTCTGAAGCGACTGCCACTTCAGCTTTCCGGGTAAGGAGCAGTCTAGCAAGAAAAACCGCTTAAATCCTCCGCCCAGCTCTGTCACAACCGGTGTGCTTTGAACATCGGCAGAGACAAGCAGAGAGTTAGAAATCTGTTCTAAAACACCAGAACTCCCTGAGTTTTGAAGTGATCTTTTCTTGATGTGGAAAGTCCCAGCAGCTTGCAATCTCATCCAAAACACGAATCCTGCCAGGAATCCTAAATAGGTAACGGTGCGTGACGAATGGTTTGATAACGAGCATTCATCTGGCTTCTCCTTCTTGTTTTTTCCCCTCACAGTTGTCTGGTGGGTGCGAGCTGACGGTCGTAATCCACGACTTCACCGCCTGCAACAGTAATGAGCTGACAATCCGCCGTGGGCAGACAGTGGAGGTCCTGGAGAGGCCCCATGACAAGCCCGACTGGTGTCTGGTTCGAACCACAGATCGATCCCCAGCTGCGGAAGGTCTGGTCCCCTGCGGGTCCCTCTGCATCGCTCACTCTCGCAGCAGTATGGAGATGGAGGGGATTTTTAACCACAAAGGTAAGGAATGATGGAAACGAAGCCTAGGCATCAGCAGCACGAGTTTTGGGTAGTGGGGAGCACTGTGCAAATGCGAACTGTGGTGTTCTTGCGCTGGTTTGGTTTCTGGTTTTTAATTAGATAAAACACAGTGCTTTTAGCAACCTGCAGCCATACTGTCTATTCCAAAATGAGCAGTTGGCAATTCTCGGTGTTGAGTGAAAACGTGGGTAAAGACAGGAGAGAAATTTAAGTGAATTATGTCTTGGTGTACAGAGTTATGTATCATGTTAGATCAAGCTGTGGTGATGGGAGAATCTAGACTTAGATTTAGACTGTGTGCTAAAAGGGGGAAGGGAAGAAAATTTCCAGCATGCATTATCAATGGCTCCTGAGAAACCCTGCAGTAAGAAGTCATGACCACATCAGGCTGAGTGATAGAAAGGTAAATGCGTGCATCCATATGCCCTGGCAAAGGAATTAGCTATCTGGACTTCTGTATTTTACTTAACCGAGTTTTCCAGAGTAACAGTGGCACACTCATCCCTTTTTCCCAGAGCAGCTCTGAAATCTTACTTTGTTTTTTCAGATGCATGAAAGAATGCGCCCCTGAAGGGTGAAAGAAAAATCTGATAATTTTTTGAAAGTTTTTAAAGTTTTGGTGAGCTGTAGTCCTTCAGCTCCATGAATTCCCCAGGCTCACAGGGTAGTTCGTTATTAAAGAAAATGCTTGCTTGCTTCGTTTTAAACGATGAGTTTGCAGCCTGTGAACAGAAGGCAATGTGAATTTTAAAAAAAGCCACCAGAAAAACAGTTCGTTAGAAGGTGTTTCATCACATGCTGGGGGAAAAGATGCATTTCAAAAAGTTTATTATTGAAAGTAACAAGATTAGCAGGAAAGTGCTGTTGGGGAAAACGAGTTTTCCAAAACACAAAACTCTGGTTTTGGAGAGTTTTTCATAAATATAACCACAAATTTTTCAATTATTCAGTCCATCCCAGCTATCACATTACAATTTTTCCCATTTTTTTCAGACAGTGTGTCTGAAATGCTTGGTTTAAAGAGGGGAGAGTTTGTGTTTCTTACATTAGGAGCATGCACAGCAGGAACTTCCTGCATGCGTGCAGGGAGGGGAGTCTGAAGGGTTGAGCCATGTAGTCGGAATAGTTTTTCATCCTCTTGTGTCCTATAACAACTTGGATAGAAAAAGTTTGCAGTTGTTCTGATGATAAAACTGGAAAATGTAGTTAGATATCACTGAAACATTTCTTCCTTTGACTAGGGGGTGAAATCATGGAAATGTCAACAGGATATAATTTTTTTTTTTTTTTTTTTTGACAACACTCAGAATTGATAAATCCAGTCTCCTTTGGAGCTAGGGGACTTTGAATGCAGAGAATTTTATTAGAAGAGGCAGATTGTACTGGGCAATATATGCTACATAAAGAACATTGAGCCTGTCAGACTCCTGAGGGAGAGACAGAGCTGTTTTATCTTTGAGAGGTTACTTTATTAATCAAACCAGTGGACATAACCTGTATTGCTTTTTTTCCTTTAGTGTTTCTTTGGGGAAAATGGGACAGAGCATTGTAAAGCTACTGTAGTTTCTGTTCTCATGCGTTGCTTTGAAATAAAGAGCATTAATTAATTATATTAATCATGGAGAATGAAGAAGAAAAGGCCGTTGATAGAATGAGCGTGATTTGCAGGGTCGAATGCAGCCTCAGAAGTGACTGCTGGCCCTGCCTCTGCCACAGGCTTCCTGTGGGATGTTATGGCACGCCATCTAAACCCCAGCTGATAAGAAGCAGCTGCTAATTGTTTATTCCCACATTACTGGGTGTCAGGTTTTAGGAGCTGGATGTTTGATTTGTAAAGTTTCCCGTGCATGTGACCAAAGTCAGGATGAACTGTCTCGAACATGCAAACTATTATATAATGTTAAGTAATCTGAAAAGGAAAAAAAAAAAAAAGAAAAACACAAACAACTTCAGACTGGGTACTTGAAACCACTGAGTACATTTTACTTGGGTCTCTATCCCAACTTTCTATTGCTTGAAAGAGGTTGATAGTGTTCATTCCACAGAGAGATTACAAAAATTAAGCGAAATTAGTGTATGTGCTTTGATTTTATTTTTTGCCCCCATAGTGAAAAGTACCTCAGACAATCCCACAAGGCAATTATTCATTATCAAGTGCTGCATTTAATTAAAGACCTTTAAGTAAGGCATTGAGGAGTATGCTAATCAGAAGAATGGAAAAACAATTAGATGATCTTCTCCAGAATTGTTCATTGTGGGCATTGATTGAGGTATGAATTCCTAAAACAAGCAAACAAAAAACCACCCCACCCCCACGTCCCAAAAAAAACCCAAACCTAAACCAAACATGACCCCCATAACAAAAAACAAGTGAATGATTTAACATAAGGCAGGCCATGTACTTAGGTGTACAACTTTTAAATATTGTATTTCCTAGTTTCCTAGTGCTTGATTGTGCAACTTCAGTCATCTTAATGAAGTTTGGTTTTGGTTTTTCTTTTTTTGTTGGTTTTTTTTTTGACCATAATTCAGTAAAAATTTCAGGTTTTGAATGATTCAACAGATTTAAGATATTGCCCTCTGGAGTTTTTAGGTCTGAAAATACATGTCATACGTCAGGCTTGCAGTGTGAGCATCAGGACTGAGTAATTCTGTACAGTTCATGGGCTAAGCCACGCGCAGTAGACACAAGTCCAGAATTTGTGAGTGTCTGGCATCACAAGCTGTTGTGAGAGGCTGAGAGAGAGAGAGGGTTTATGTAATTCCAAAGGAAAAAGGGAGGCGATCACCATCAGGATTGGTGGGGGTGGCTGCTTGGATGTTGACTGCTTAGCCTGTACAAATGACTTGTTGGAGTAAAGAGTTTTGCACTTCTTTCAGTATTTGTAGACGGTACAATTTTGATCTTTTCAACAGTGTTTATCAATACCATTTGCCAACTAGACAAGTTGAAAGCCATGGCATATCAGAGGTGAAGTGGGCTTCAAAGTTTTGAAATGGCAAACCTCTGCTAATTTACAACTGGTTCTTAAGTTGTGTAAAACCACTTTTCATCATTGATACAGAAATGTTGGGTGATACTTAATGCCTTAAATAACCTGAAACGATTATCCAAAGTAGAGTAACATGAAAGATTATTAAGCAGAAAGTACGTTCAGCGAAGCCTGGTTCTGACAGCTGATCTTGGTCATTCCTTGTCTGTCCACGTATTATCGGTCATGAAAGGTGACGTTGTTTTATTCTCATGTTAGAAGATAGCCCCAGAGATGAACCTCATCACTTGCCTACAAGTGTAGGTGTTACTTGTGCTCTAAGAATGTGTATTACTTTAAATATCTAATCAGTATGAATGGATAAAAAATAAAACACAACAAAATGCATTTACAGTATCTTCAATCTCTACAATTTTGTAGTAGTTAAGATAACAAACATTTTATTAAGAG